TTGAACGTTGTTTAAAATTGTAATTCAACGTAAAAGAATATAAAATATCGAATACTCTAGCATTACACCTCAAAAAGTTAGTGAATTCAATAAAAATTTGAGTGGGAGATTGAAAATTCGTTTACTTTATCTTAGCACGCGAGATTCTCTTTTCTGCTCAAACTTTTCTCAAACGAAGTTTGACGACCATCACATGTAATCTTTCTTTCATTTGATACAAATGCATGTCAATTAACTACTTTATGTATGATTTTTGTTTGTTTTGACCGATTATTTTCGTGTTCTTGTCTTTCATAGGCGCATTTTGTTTTCTCTCTCATTTGTGACAACACTTTATTCTAATGAACCAATGTTAGTTTTCGTTTTCGTTTTCGTTTTGAAGAACTTATTTGTTGAACTTGTTTGTTGTTATTTTTTGTTGAACTTGTTTGTTGTTGTTGTTTGTCATTGTTGTTTGTTGTTGTTGTTTGTCATTGTTGTTTGTTGTTGATACTATATTACACGTTCATAGTTCATGCTTTACAAAATACCAAAAACTAAAATTTTTTTTTTATGCTTTTCAGGGTCTCGTAGAGTTGTAAAAAAGGATCACAATTAATTCGACGTTAAAGTCTCTCGATATGACCTCGTTCACACGAATTCGACGTGAAAGACCCAAAATATTCGACGTTATACGATGTTTTTGTACTAGTGTATTTATCATCACGAAAGTACAAAATATATTATATTCGTGTTGACATAATGAATTTTAACTAAAATAAATAATAAGATAAATAAAATTAGAATTTACTAAGTTAGTGGTAACTTAAATAAATATGAATACTAAAAATAAATAAGATTAACATCAACTAAACAAAATTAATATATATGATACTATCACATATATTTATTTATTAAAAAACTAAAATAGTTAGTTTCAATTTAAAGTTGGCTAAATCAGTCAACAATTAAATCATATAAAAAAAAGTATGCTTTTTAACTATAGTTTTAAAAGATTAACATTTATTTCAACACAACATAACACAGACTATAAAAGTATTTGCAAGTCAAGATTGAAAAATCATACCATGTTGAGTATGGATGTGTTTTCGATAGAAACCTTCTTCATGCACTGTAGTCATTCCTAAACCTTGAAAACCCTAAAAACAAAAATTTAAATCAGTTGCAACCAGCAAAACACACTAAAAACACGATTATGAAAAAACCAAAAGAGAATGAGCGAATTGGAAACCGAAAATTATTGGAGCTCACTAGAGGGGAGAAAAAAGGGTTAGATGAAACCCTAGATTATGGGTGGGGAGTGAGAGGAAAAATTTGCGCCTTGCGAAAGAAAACCCTAGATTAGAAAATTTTGGAAGATTTGATTTTGAGACATTGCTAGTTGAAACAGACAGGGAAGAAACGAGTTTGAGAATATCATGAGAGTTGTGAGCTCTTATTCTTCTTCTCAGAGACTCTTTCTTTACCTGACTGATTGTGTGGGAACGTGAAAAGTTTCAAGAGAGTGTAAGTGATAAACTTTAATTTTAATTTTTAATAATTAATTATTTTAAAATCTATATGTAAAATCGGTAGGTAAATTTACCTAAGGAATATCATTAGATATTGATAATATATTTCACAAAAGTCTCGCTTTAACACATCAAAATTACATACAGAAATTCGGTAGAAATTTTTTTGACATTACTTATGAAAAAATCCATATGAAATTCGATTTTTCTTATCCGTTGGTAAGATCCGTATGTAACAACTAATTTACCTATGAATTCAAATTTGTCTATAATTATTTGTATGTAAATCATATTTTTCTTATAATAAACTTGTACTTTGTAATGAGTCCCAATCATTGTGTAAAACTTTTTGAAAAGTTTTCCAACTTTACTTTTAGACTTTATTGAATATAACTAAGTTATTTGAGTACAATCATGAACAAATGTTACAAATCACATTGAATCACCCAACATTTGCTTTATATGGACCTCATACATCAAAGAAATAAAGGGAAACCAAAACTTTCTTTTGAAATTAAAGGAAAATTGGTTTTGTGACCCTTTGCAAGCTCACAAATATCACAATACAAATTTTAAGTAAATACATTTAGAAATTATTTCTTTATGTAACCAAAATATACATGTCTTAGATGCTTATGCCATAGTCAAATATTCTCGCCTTTTCTTGCTTCTTGAGGTCTTTCTATTACTAACACTTAACCAAGTTTTCTTGAATCTTTTTCTATCAAATCTAGCTATTAACCTTCCTCACGTAATACCACAACTAATTGTTTTCCTTGTTTGAATGTCCTTAAAAGTATAAGAGTCTGCCAAAAAAAGTTAACACGTAAGAGAGCTTTGGTTATTCGAGAGACAAACAATAGGTTATATTGTTTGTCAGTTGAAAAGTCTTTGTTTGTCAGTTACGCAAATCCTATGGCAACGGTTCGAAAGGGCCGAGGCCATATATACTTTATGGCTTCAGTTATTTCAAAACTGAGGCATATACCTTTGCAAAAATCTCAAAAATGCTAACACGTCATGTTATGTTGCAGTTTCATGTAAACTGAAGCATATAGGCGCGTTAGTATCTCCTTTTTTTACTAATGTGGGTTTTTCTTTTAATTTTTCCGATTTCGATTTTACCTTAATGAATAAATCTAAAGTTGTTGGTTTTGGTGAATTGTGTGATTCTCTTTATTCCATTATTTTGCAAAACAATATTGCTTACAATTCTATGCACATTACTTTCGAGTTAAAATGATGTGTTGTGAATAAGGAATCCTCTATATTATGGCATCAGAGATTAGGACATATCTCCATTGAGAGAATTAAATAATTAATCAATGAAGGAGTACTTAATACTTTGGATTTTACTGATTTCGAGACTTGTGTGGATTATTTAAAGGGTAAGCAAACTAACAAGTCTAAAACTGATGCCAAGAGGAGTTCAAACCTATTGGAAATTATTCATACAGATATCTGTTGTCTAGAGATAGACGCAAGTCCAAAATACTTCATCACCTTTATAGATGACTACTCACGCTATATGTATCTTTACTTACTTCGTTCTAAAAAGGATGAAGCTTTGGATGCCTTTAAAGTTTTTAAGGCTGAAGTAGAGCTAAAATGCAGAAAGCAAATGAAGATTGCAAGATCATATAGATGTGGAGAATATTATGGTAGATATACAAAGAATGGACAAGCACTTGGTCCATTTGCGAAGTTTCTTCTAAAACATGGAATTGTTGCGCAATGCACTATGTTTGGTTTTTTATATCAGAATGGTTTATTATGGTACATTGTTTATTCATATTCAATATTTTTTCAGAGAGGATATTTCTTATTCAAAAATTTCAATCAGTTACATACTTTATTCTTTAATGAAATGAGAAATTAAATTTGTTTTTTACCACAACTAATAGTCTCACATTGTTTATAAGTTAAGGCCTAAGAAAGTTTAAATATTTTTTTTCTCTTTTTACCTTTTAAGACATTTTCTATAGACAAAATCGTGGACAAATTTTCAAAGCAGACAATAACTTAAATGTACGATGATTGACCCTAACGATATCATTCGACGAATTTGGGATCAAAACAAAATTAAAACATTTGATTTGTAAAAAAGTAAACTAAGAAGAAAGAATGATATAATAATTTGGGTTAGAATTCACCATCTACCCATATGATATGATGGAGTGAAATCAAAGTAGGTGGATGGTCGAAATAAATGAGTATAATATAAATGCATGAGTTGGACCGACAAAGGGATGTGCAAAGAATTGTCTCTTTAGTATATAGTATTGTTAGCATGGGAGAGAAGAGAGGAGAATCCATGTGAAGAAGTGAGTAATATTAATAAGAAAAATATTAAGTTAAGGAAGATGTATATGCCAGCTTGTTAGCTTTTGTTTCTTTATCAAATGTAGCGTGAAGATGTCGCTATTTCAGAACTATATGTCTTGCATCACAACAAAATAAGCTACCCACGTTTACTTTAATTTTCAAACACCCACCATGCCCCACCTCATGCATAATGTTTCCTTCTTTTTCTTCTTTCTTTTTAATTTCATGCCAAATGTTATAATTTCCTTCTCATTTATACTTCAAAACCCTCGCACTCACAATTCAAGATTAACCCATAAATTGTTAAAAAAAATATCATCAACAACAACAATATTATATTCCATATTACAACGTAAAATGTTTTTTTAAGGAAGATTGGGGAGGAGGACTTCCAATCATTAACCTTAACACTGAAACATACTTTTGTTAAGAATTTAATAAGGTTGTTATCCGCAATTCCTTTCCCGTTGCCGGGAAAAATAGCTAATTTTTTTATGTTCATGTTTCACCTTGACTTCTATACAAGAGCCAAAAAAACTAAATACTTAGATTGTTCAAATAGTATAGTTACAGCTCATAGCCTTAATTAAGTTGGAATATTAATACGATCATTATAGACCAACAAACAATGTTGGTAATTAATATATAATTGAAATGACAATAATGTCAACTTAAGACCCTCTTCTTTAGTTTCTCTTCTACAATATGTGAATAGATTCCTTTAGTAGACATATATGTAGCTAACGTGCTTGCTCCTCTTAATTATCGAAAATTAGTCTTGGTTTTATCGTTGAAAAATGGGCAATTCAGATCATTAGTGTTAGATGCCACAATTATAGTTTGCTTAGAAAACGAAATCACTCTTGAATTATGAGTTTCATTTCGTCAAGCCATTTAAGACAATTAGATAAGCTTGGCCGGGCTTCCAATTGTGGGGTACAAATTTTAGTTAACACACATTTTCCTTTTATAAATAAATAAATTTATATATATAAACATAAATAAATAAATAAAGAACGATAATTGCATGAATTTGAGGTTGGAAATCGTTTGGTACAATCTTGAAATCTTCATTCTTGGTAACTTCTTTTTTTCTTCTTTTACCTTATTGTTGGAAAGCAAACAAATTAAAATATGATCAAACTCAACTCAGCAAACAATTTGAAAGCAAGGTAAATTTTTTATCCACAAGATCAAATTCCCACATACATTTATAAAACAAGGAGAAAAAGTTTCTGTTCCTATATATTTTAATAACTGAACATTTTTTTCTCTTTTTTTTTCCGGCGATGTTGGATTCCGGCCACCGGCGGATAACACAAAACGGACTAGTCTTCTGATATACTCTCCAAATGAGGTTTCCATATTCCAATGCGACCTTTTCGGCGATCACGGCATGCCGATTTTTTCTCTTTGTGAGAAGCTTTGCGTGATCGTGATGGAAAATCATCACCATCACCCTTGTTGTTCTTCATCGTCGATGCTTTCTTTTTCATACCACCGTCACCGCCAATGCTTCCTTTTCCGGCGTGTCGTTTATTCTCCGGCAGCGAAGATTCCGGGATCAAGAAGTAGATGCTGCCCCTTTTGAGCTCGGTCTCCGGCGAGAGGATCAAAATCCGGCGAACAACTCCTTGAGAGCTGGGTTTGCTAAGAACATGGTTAGGGTTTGCTTTGAGAACCTCTCCAGCCGTGATTGAACGTGTAATCTCTTCCACATAACCGTTCAAATGCACTATTCGAATCAAGTCTAGTGCCCCACATGGAAGAATACAAGCCAAACAGCACCTTAAGCTATTTCCCATTGTTGCTCTCTCTCTATATATATATATATATATATGAATTAAAAGTAGGAAACTAAAACTGATCTAGGGTTTCAACTTTGAATCCTGATCAGAAAAAAAGGAAGGTATCTAAAATTATGTGTAGCTTTGAATGTTGGAGAATTGTTTGAAGAAGGGAAGGAGGTGGTGTATGAGTTGTGTATATATAGCAACAACCTACTTGTAATGCAAAAGGAGAATTTAATAATGATGGTGGGTGATGATGATGATGATGGTGGTCTTGTAGTTAATAATTATGGAACTTGGTGGATTCAAATTGACCAAGCTGCCCTTGGTTTGTGACTTAAAATTTTTTGGGATTTGAGTATATCTCACATGGTGGGGTTGGCTTTCTCGTATTTGTAATTAACTTGTGTGTGTTGTAGCTAGCCGCCATGTGTTGCTTTAAGAACTATATATAGTGACTGTGGTAGGAAACTTTGCCAAGTTTGGTTAAGGATCCTTATTAATGATTAAATTCTTATTTTCTTACTAGCTTTTACCTTCTATTTTATCTTGGTTTAAAAATTAAGCCCATATCATCAGTATTCATGCTGCTTTATTTTGACTAGGTTGGTATACATATATATGCAGTCAAAAATTTACATAGGAATTTTCACTAATTAAAATATTTCGGTTATGAGTTTAAAAATTAATTGTTTATTGTGTCACTTATATTATGAAAGTATGAATGTTTCTCCTAACTTCGTCGTTCATCTTAATTGTCTGTAGGGTCAAATTATCTAAGAATTTGTTCATATTAAAATCAATAAAAATTCGATAATTTTAATAATAAATTTATATTAAATGTTATTGTTTATTTTTTTATTTCAAATTTGTATTTATAAATTATGAAATATGTTATAGAATAACCACAACTTAATTATAATCAACTTAATTATAACCAACTTAATTATAATTGTACTATATATGGGTAGCCGACGGTTTTAAGAGAGGACCATCTACATTGACCGGTAATTCGATGATTGTAAGGCAGGTAAGATAAATGTCGTTAATGACCAATTAGTACACTTGCTGACCATATCAGTGAGAAATATACGGTATTTATTGACAGTTAGCAAGTATGTTATTTAATATTAATTGTTTGATTGTCGTATCAAATATGAATATACGACATTATTGTCATATCCAATATGAATTAATGAGCTTGATTGCCGTAAGCCCTATAAATATAGGGTTAATGTCCAGGTAAGGAAATCTTAATCTATTATAATAAAATATAAACCTCTTTATGAAACATATCTAACTTGAGCGTTGGAGTGTCTTCTGCATGTCAACAACTCATCAAAGTGGATTGCATTCTCGGAGAGGATTGAAGATAAAAAATAGCAGAGTAAGGAAGGACGACCGACCCTCAAACCAATTTAATCGAAACAATTGGCGTCCACCGTGGGGCTGAGCGACATCCCCATGAAGCCACGAAGAACCAGACGGGCGCTCGGTCTCGACATTGCTACTTCGGATCAACACCAGGTTTTGCAACAAGAGTAAAAAATTCTGTAATAATTCCTAAAGGCATGTCTTTTGTTTTGAGAACTTTTAGGAAAGTTCGGTCCTGCGTTCAACCTTGTCAGGTTCTACCGACTCTTCGTTTTAAAATTATAAATTATAAAATATTATGTGTAGGAAGGTTAAGACCTCAACTTGGTCAGGTTCTACCAACTCTTAATTTTAAATTATAAAATATTATGCACAGAATGGTTCTGAGTTGCATTCAACCTTGTCAGGTTCTACCGACTCTTAATTTTAAATTATAAATTATAAAATATTATGCACCTTGTTAGGTTCTAGCGACTCTTAATTTTAAATTATAAATTATAAAATATTATGCGCAGGATGGTTCAGAAATACGTTCAACCTTGTCAGGTTCTACCGACTCTTAATTTTAAATTATAAAATATTATGCACAGGAAGATTCAGTCCTACGTTCAACCTTATCAGGTTCTAGTGACTTTGTATTATAATTTATAAATTATAATATATTGAAGTGTTTACTTAACACATATTTTTGTGAGTAAAAATATCCTGCACAGGAAGATTCAGTCCTACGTTCAACCATATCAGGTTCTAGTGACTTTGTATTATAATTTATAAATTATAATATATTGAAGTGTTTACTTAACACATATTTTTGTGACTAAAAATATCATGTGTAGGAAGGTCCAGACTTAAGTTGAACCTTATCAGGTTCCAATGACTTCTGATTATAATTTATAAATTTGATATATTGAAGCATTTACTTTATTTTGTTTAACTCATATTTTTGTGAGTAAAAATATCTTGCACAGGAAGATTCAGTCCTACGTTCAACCTTCTCAGGTTCTAGTGACTTTTTATTATAATTTATAAATTATAATATAGAAGTGTTTACTTAAACACATATTTTTGTGAGTAAAAATATCATGTGCAGGAAGGTCCCAACTTACGTTCAACCATGGTCTTCTAGTGATCAGCTCACTTGTGTCTTCTAGTGATCTACTCACTAGTAATCCCAGGCGGCCATACGAAGACATTCAACTATGGTCTTCTAGTGACCAGCTCACTAGCAATCTTGGGCGGCCAAGTGATCAGCTCACTTATGTCTTCTAGTGATCTACTCAGTAGCAATACCGGGCGGCCATACGAAGACATTCAACTATGGTCTTCTAGTGACCAGCTCACTAGCAATCTTGGGCGGCCAAGTGATCAGCTCACTTGTGTCTTTTAGTGATCTACTCACTAGCAATCCCAGACAGCCATACGAAGACATTCAACTATGGTTTTCTAGTGACCAACTCACTTGCAATCTTGAGCGGCCAAGTGATCAGCTCACTTGTGTCTCATAGTGATCCACTCACTAGCAATCCCGGGCGGCCATACGAAGACATTCAACTATGGTCTTCTAGTGACCAGCTCAAACCGCTCCTACCACGACTCAACTACAAAAAGTTAAACCCCTTCGCACCTACAAACAACTGCTCGGGGCTTGGGGGGCTTAATGTACTATACATGGGTAGCCGACGGTCCTAGGAGAGGACCATCTACACCGACTGGTAATTCAATAATTGTGAGTCAGGTAAGATGGATGTCGTTAATGACCAATTAATACACTTGTTGACCATATCAGTGGGAAATATACAGTATTTATGGGCAGTTAGCAAGTATATTATTAAATAGTAATGGTTTGATTGTCGTATCAAATATGAATATATGACATTATTATCATATCCAATATGAATTAATGAGCTAGATTGTCATAAGCCCTATAAATATAGGGTTAATGTCCAGGTAAAGACATCTTAATCTATTATAATAAAATAAATACCTCTTTATGAAACATATCTGACTTGAGTGTCAGAGTGTCTTGTGCAGGTCAACAACTCATCAAAGCGAATTGCATTATCGAAAAGGATTGAAGATAAAAAAGAGCAGAGTAAGAAAGGATGACCACCCTCCCTCGTACCAATTTAATCGAAACGATAATAATACACTTTATTATAAGTTAATTAGTGATATATCTTATATGTTATTATTTATTGTTGTGATATGATTGACAGTAAAGTACATAAATTATTTTATAAAAAAAGATAACGTGAATTGTTTTGTTCTGTTTAAAAAAGTGTTCATTTTGTTTACTACGTTAACTAATTTAGATTCTTTTGGAATTTACACTAAAACAATAAGTTGAAAAGAATTCAAAGTATCTATGAGCTGTATATACTAAAATTAGACGATAGATGCTTCAAATTGCCTTTAAATTAATTCACCCGTATACTACTAGTCTTGTACGGAACACGGATAGTACATTTTTTTTATATTTTGTTTCCTTTTTTCTTCCTATCAATGTTGAATGAGGAAAATGAAATAATAATTTAGAATAATAAGTAGGTAAGCCATTAAATGTGTGCATGCAAAAGGGGATTTAATTAGTAATGGTAAAAAGTTTGAAGATAATCAAAAGTTTACTTCTATTCGTACTAAAGTATTATTATTTCTCTGTTGTAACAACGTATATACAGAGCTATTAAATAAACAGAAGAAACAAAATATCATTTCCCATAAACTGAGACCTTGGTTGATCAAACAATATTATTAATTTAGATGAGAAGGTGCCATTGGAAGTAGTGTGATCAACTGTACAAAAGGTTACGAAGAAATAGATAAATATTAGCATCTGACAAGAAACTGGTTCACCAATAAGAGACAAAAAATAAAGTATATGGAAACATTTTAAACCAAAATTAAAGGGCTAATTAAGGATCTTAATCCTTTCCTATTTAATCTATGAAATCCGCGTTCAAGGGTAACCATGTTTACCAACAGAATCTCAGAGTCATAATGTTCACATTTCAAAGTATTCTTTAAAAAAAAAAAAAACACTTATCGTTGTTACGTATTGCATTGGAAAAGTACGTATATACGTACGGCGGTGTGTCTTCTTAAAAACTAAAAGGCTACATAAATTATCTAGATTTTGCATTTCTAAACCAATGTTCTTTTCTCAACTAAATTTGTGAGTAAGATAAGATTGTTTTACACTAAATATTATATATAAAGAATATATTATTATAACTTCAAATCCGTATTCCATTTACAGCATTATCTTTTATCATAGAAAAGGTGTTTTAAACAAATAGAACAAAAAGAATATATTAACTCAGACAGTCTTCAAACTCTAAACATAGGTCGCCATTCTTCCTCTAATTTACACTCGTTGCATTCAATTGAACTTAGAAATTACTTACAATAGCTAAAATCAGTAAATATTTAATAGTATAAAAAATAAATATACAATTAATATAATCAACCAATCACAATACTACAAACTTATATGTGTAGATTTTGACATATTTTTCTGATTAGCATTAACGATCAAATTAGTAATGATATAGCTTAGATTTAATATAACTATCCATAATGTTAATTTTAGTTTTAATTTGATCACTCAATTTTTTAACTAAATTCTATAAAACGGTAAACTACCGTCCAGTTCTTAAGGTCATATTATACATAACCTCAATACAAAAGTGTAATATACATAAAAATAAGGATTAATACTCTAATAAAAAATTAAACTCTTATTATTTTATCCGTAAATCATAGTCAAGTGATAATCTTTAATGTATTTGTATACACTTACATTCAC